ACTTGAAAACTCGAAATAATGCTTATAGTAATGTACAATCACTAATTCACTGCACAAATTTATTCCCTCTATATAAAAATTTGAATATATGTTGAATTTATTTCATACACCGTATCAATGTATCATATTGTGGTTCAAACTCTTTTTCCAATGTATTTGTACTACAACTTTGACAAAACGTAATTATGTTAGAATGTTAGATCGATCGATTAATAGAAACACCCTTCTAATGGAATCACCTCTAGTACCCTAAATAAAAGTAAGATTAAAATAGGAGGGGTGGAGTAAACTTACGCATAAAAGGCAAGGCTTGCGAAAGAGAAAAAGTTTATGACATTAAAAGTTTAATATAATTAAGAAAATGGAATTAAAAAAAAAAAAAGATGACCTCATTTAACCAAAATCAGTACCCTCTTAGCCTGCAGGTAGGGAATGGGCATGCATAACATCAAATGAGCAACGACAAACTTCAAAACAAAATCATATCAATTTTTAATTTTATTATTTGACAGATCATTTCAAGATGAGAGATAATAGAGTTTTTTTTTTTTTTTTTTTTTTTTTTACAAAGATAATACAGTACTTTTCTATTCATAATATGCACTCTGAATACTACTGTAACAAGCATTATTTAGTGTCAGCCCTAATTTGGAAATTTTCTTTTCTTTATTTAACTTTCTTTGGAGTAGTTTCTACTTCAAGGCCACACCATAGTCAACTTTGTCATGGGTTTTGCACGATCACTTTTATTTAACTTATTTCGTCTAAATTAAACTTAATACAGATTACAAGTAAGATCAGATAAGTAATGATTATTGTACACTTAATTCCATTCACACTTACAATTAATTTTCAATTAGTTATGATAAGTCAAATTCAGGTTACCATATAATAAACCTAGCTAATGTGAGTCCATAATAAGCTCGATAAATAGAGTAGCTAGTAAACACTATAATAAATAAATAAATAAAAAATAAAAACCAACAAAACGAAACTATCGTTCTCTCTCATTTGTCTGTTCTCAATTTTTACCCTGAAATAATTTTGATAATTGACGGCCTAATATTTTCATAATTCTACTACAATGCATTTCACTCATGGGTTCAATAAAATTAAGTTTAGGTAAGTTTATATTCCGTAAAATTAATATTTTTTTTTTAAAAAAGAAGGGAGTATTTCTTAAAGAGGGAAACAATTAAATAAAGAAGTGCAAGTAATAAGTTGCAAAATGATGGACATTAAACAAAAATTAAAATAAAAAAGAAATGAAGATAAAATCATGGAATATTTCTTAGTCTTAATTATGAAGAACAGAAAACAGAGGTGTTGGTGGTTAAGCAAATGTCAGACACACATGCACACATACAAACATACACAGAAACACACTCTTCTTCCTTCCTCTCTAATTTTTCTCTCTCCTCCTCATTTGCGCAGAGTAGCAGCTACTGCAGCTGTTTTGATAATTACGTCCCTAATCTTATTTACCCTTCTCTTCTCTTCTCTTCTCTTCTCTTCTTCAATGTGGTCCTTTTTTTTTTTATTTTCTACTTTACGGTTTCCTCTAGTTGTTTTGTGTACCCTTTCTTTCTTTTCTTTTACCAATAATCCAACTTTACTTTGCGTGATTCTTTTCTTCTTACTTTTCTACTTTTTTTTTTTTTTTTTTTTTTTTACTTCTTACCGCATCAACTGTTCAATTGAGATTACGGAGTAGTATCCAATAAAAGTAGATTTAGCAAAAATCATTATGAATTTCTTAATTGAATTATCTAACGTTACACTCAATTCTGGATCAAGTATGACTATCATGTTGCAATGAAATTCATAATTGGACTTACCCAAAATAACCTAAATACGAACTCAAGCTTGATTTGAAAAAAAACCTTACTTGAGCAATGTGACTAGATACTTTTGACCAATCAATTTATAATTAAGTATCCCAACCTCAAAAGAAAAAAAAAAAAAAAAAAAAAAAAAAAAAAAAAAAAAAAAAATCATATACTTCGTATCATTTTAAATTGTAAAAATAATTGCGGGCAACCACACACGCACACTGAAAAAAAACAATAAATAGTAGAGTAATTTTAATACACATACATCTATCCTTCAAGTAGCCTATAAAATATTATACTCCGTGATCAAAGTAGGTCATCAGATAAGTCTAGCTAATTAACTTTTTACTGATCATAAATTTAATTTCGTCTTCCCAAATTAGTTAATTTCTACCTAACTAATAAATTTAATTTAAGTGAAATACTATATAAATAAGATGATAACAATAAAGCCACAAATAGCAGAAGAATTACCTTAAATTATAAGCTTAATTAAAGAATATAAGAATTGTTGCTACACAATACTTAATAAATAGCTAATTGTGATGATCGACTCTATGACATTTGAGTTCATGTATCACAACTATAATTAGAAATTGCTACTTGTATAGTCGTATTTTATAAAATTTTATTCGAAATATGTCAACACCAACTTTATTAAGTTTCGTAGCCCTCACTGAGTTTAATTTTAAGTGATTCTCTTCAGACAGCTTAATTCTTTTTAAGAAATATCAAATGTCATATTCTCATTATCTAGACCTTGTTCTCTTCACTTAAAAAAATAACTTTAGTTCAGTAAAAATAAATTGAGTTCAGTAAAATAATTTCAACTCAATAAACATCAGTAATTTCAAAAAAGAAATATAATAGAGAATCAGTAAAATAATTTCACTTCATAAAATTAATTTTAGTTCAGTTAAAATAATTTAATTTTAGTTGAATAAAAATATACAATTTTAATTCAGCCAAAAAAAAGGTGAAAAATATAAGGCCCTAGAATCAAATTTTATTATATTAATATTACTCCATCTAATTCAAAATGAACATTTCAATTTTTTGTACAATTTATGTAAACCACTTTGATTAATATTTATACTTTACATAAGATTAAACATAATTATGTGGGTGCTAGTTTTAATTATTTTTATTTTTTTATTTTTTGAATATCAATTTTTATTTCATCATTTATACTTATTAATGATGAAACCATATTATTATTTAAAGTTTATGTTAACAAATATGTCGATCAAATTAAGACATTTATTTTGATACAGAAAGAGTATAATATGATTATTTTTTTCCTCTTTACTTGGCAACCTATCACTCCTCTTTTAGCAAATTTTCAAGAAATAACCACCCATAAAAAGGTTAAACTAAAATCGTGATAATAGCACTTCACTTCATAATAAAATAATGAATTGGTCCATAATAGTAACATTATAGCACTCATGCATATTCCATAATGCAATAGCATATAGGAACTATACAAAACAGTTAAATGTCTTGATTGTAGTCATCAAAAGCATTGGTGATAAACGTTTTGCAAGGGCAAAAACAAAACTTTATTACTTTCTTCTAGTTTACTCCTCTTCTTTGGACCTTTAATTCCAACCAAAAAAGGGGGTGAAAATTGCTAAATTCAAGATATGATTAGACTTGTATCAACCGTTCTTCTCAGACTCAAGGCAACTCATTTCCTCTTCATGTCAGTTCAATCTACACATTTGGTCTTGTCTTACTGGTATATTGTAAATAGCATGGAACTAATAATATTTTAGACAATTAAAGGTAATTTTATATTAATCAAATATGAATATATTCACTACTCAAAAACATAAAAAATTATTTAACTACAAAAAATTATTTAGATACGAAGTTATGCTTTTATCGGGCTCTTAATAATTTACACTTTTTTAGTAACACTAAACTTTATAAATTGTCAACAATGACAAATCTATATCTATACCATTACCTATTTATAATTTATATATTATTATATTACACATATATTGTACATATATTGCACATAAGTTGCTTCACTTGCATGTATACATCTATAGATTCTTATAAGTTTGTTTATCATAATTTAGAATATCAATTTTGCATTTTGTTTTGTCATGTTAAAATTATTTAATTGTTAAATTTGATTTTTCATATTTGTAACAACCTTTTACAAGAGTTAAAGGAGGTCAATTAATCTCATTACATTAAAACTAATTCAATTGTAAATTTTTGATTTTTTATTATGTTAATTTTTATGACTTTACATGTGGTGTTTGCACTTATGTAACAAACTAATACGGAGTACCTAACTCTATCAAATATCTTTGTTAACTTCATTAATATTTTTGCGGTTTACATTACTTTTCACATTTTTTTTTTACTAATGCTTTTTTCTAATATTAATATTTACAAAATTATTTTTATAAATATATTGTGACAAATTTATGAGATTGAGGTGGAAGAGTAGTGGCATTACTCTCTAATAAATTCAAAACCCTAAGATATAAGGATCAATGAAAACCTCAAGGGACTCTGATCACTTAAGGGATTAAATTCTATGATTTAGAAAGTTCTCATTAATACATATTAATCTCATTTTAATTAACATTTTATTTTTGGATCAATGTCCAATATGTCTGGATGTTAACAATAGTAGTTTATATAAATATATAGCCAGGTACATAATATAATTTGTTCTAAAGTATACTCTGTATTCCGTAATGAAGTAAAGGGAACAAAACCCAAGTAACGGACTAATAAGAATAATGTGAAGAGAACAATACCATAATTGTATTCCATGACTTTTTTTAATTATTGTCTATATTCGTTTTTTCTCACGCTCATTGTAATTTTACTTGAGTTCTTTTATGTTATTTACCCTTTTTATTTCCAAACTAAGCTACAAGCAAAATCTATAGTACATAAATGAGTGTTACGAGTCGAACTCTCGAACATAACGATAGTACAAAGGTCTCAAGCTAAGCTAATATGAAGTACTCCATAATAAAAAAATAAAAAATAAAAAAATGTTTGATTGAACTTATTCTACCGTATAAATGCCAATAAGTTTTATTAGAAAAAATGTTTGTATAAATGCCAATAAGACAAATTAATTATGATAAACTAAAATAAGACAAAATTGATCATATAAAACTAATGCTCTACTTACCCTCCCTCACAATAAATGCAATTAATCCTACATTAACCGGTAAAAAGCAAAGTACAACTCCTAATACGGACTATAAGGTATAATCACTCCTCATAATACTTAACTTAAAAAAAAAAAGTTTATAAACTATTTAGAGCAAGCAACTTTTCCTAGATAATTAGACAAACCTTCTAAAAATCTATTCAAGGAAAATAAAAAAGCCCACCCCTCACTCTTAAACCAAGATTATTCTCATTTCTCCAATTATTTAATAATTTATTCAAGATTTAAACAAATTCACCCCTTTTTAAGATAAAATCCCACATTTCCTTTCCATCCCTCTCACTCTAACCCTCTTAGCTTCTTCCTTCTCTCTCCTCTCCCCTCTTCCCCCAACAAAAAAATCCAACTTCTTTTAATCACTTAAAACAACTTTTAGTTCAGAAATTAACAAATTCTAATTTCTGAAACAAAAAAGAAAAACTGATGATGGAATTCGAGGAAGAGCATGAAGAGGAAGAGGAGGAAGAAGAAGAATCAGAAATGGCGATAACTCCAACTTTCAAGAAGCAGCACCAGCCAACAGCCACCGTAAGATACAGAGAATGCTTGAAAAATCACGCGATTGGAATCGGCGGCCACGCCGTAGACGGATGCGGTGAGTTCCTCCCTGCCGGCGCTGAAGGCAGCATCGATGCGTTCCGGTGCGCAGCATGTAGCTGCCACCGGAATTTCCACCGTAAAGAATACAGTAACTCAATCGTACCTCCGCAACTTGCGATGTACGCTTCTCGGCCTCATCATCATCAGCAGCAGCAGCATCCTCATCAGGTATACCAAATTTATCCCTATAGTCGTAACTCAGGTGGGTACCTCCACGTGTCAAGTGGACAACGGCCGCTGGCGTTGCCGTCTCCGACATCAGGTGGCACCCACAACCACCACCACCACCAGGAGGAGACTGGTGGGGGTGGAGATCAAGTGATGGGGAGCGGTGGTGGGAATGGAAATGTAACAACACGTGTCGGCGGAGGGGGTACAATGGATATAAGTGGAGGTAGTACGATGTTGTCCGGAGGAAGTAATACTAGTTCGGGGAAGAAGAGGTTTAGGACTAAGTTTACACCTGAACAAAAGGATAAGATGTTGGGATTAGCTGAGCAACTTGGTTGGCGGATTCAAAAGCAAGATGAAGAATTAGTGCATCAATTTTGCAATCAAACTGGGATTAAACGTCATGTTCTTAAGGTTTGGATGCATAATAACAAACTTACTCTTGGTAAGAAAACCCTAATTACTACTCCCCCTCCCCTTAATCTTAACCCTTATTATCTTTGCTATCTTCGTTAGTTGTTGCTGTTGTTGTTGTTACTCGAGCGAGGCGAGGCCGGGCTTTGTTTGTGTCCGGCCTCGCTCGCTCTTGTTCTAGTGGTGTATGATTTTATGATCACCCATTTCCTAAAAAAAAGGGATTGGAGTAGGAATTTAAGTTAATTAGTTGTTTTAGATGCTAGCTAGCTGGTAATGTAGCTAGGTTTGTATTGTGTAATATTTTGTTGTGTTTTTTTTTAATGAAGTACTAGTGATCTAATCTTTGTTCTTAACATTAAGATTCGCATTTTAATTAGTGTATGTGATGGTTGATCATTATCTTGTACTTGAATTCTTCATGAATGTATGTAAATTGCATTAAACAAGCTTACATTATTATTAATACTATTATTCTATAATGACGTACTAATAATAATTGTTTGGTACTTATATAACATGGATGATGAGTTGATGACCATGTAATTGCAATGTCGTTGTCCAAGTTTTTTTCCTTTGAAATCATGTGTGATTCCATGAATTTAAATCTCTCTTCTTTCTATTCAACAATAGGTAGTGACTATATATAGTAGTACTACTATAACAAAGGTATTTATTGCCTCTATTTGTTAGTTCTTTCCATGGGTGTGTAGTGTTGTAGTGTACGTTCTCAGTTATTACAATGGTACTCTTTTGCTGAATCCTTGGTTTGGTTTCATAATTGAGCATTTTACATTTACTATTAGTCAAGTACTGGGGGACAGGGGGAGGGGGGCTGGTTGTTTCATAATTCCGAGTATCCGCAATGTTTTGCTGATCTTAACCACCACAAGTCCCTAAAGTATTCGTTGAAATTTGATATACGACCACAAGACTGCACCATATTGTTACAAGTGTCAAAATAATTAGTTGCCAATTCAAACACCATCAGTAACATCGAAAAATGAGATTCGACTGTTTTACAGTCAGGATTTACTCTCATTATGTTTCCGTTGAGCCATTTGAATTACCACCACAAGAATGCACCATATTGTTACTAGTGTTTGAATAATTAGCCAGCCACCCCTCTCTCTCTCTCTCTCACACACACACACACACACACAATGTACCATCAAAAATGTGAAATTGAATTGTGTTTTGTTGATCAATGATCATTGAGATCAACTAGGATTTACTCTTTCCTTAAGTTTCCTTTGAGTCGTTTGACTTACCACTACAAGAATTAATTAACACAGGGCATTATTGTTACAAGTGTCGTGGTAATTAGCTACCACGTACATAAAATGAACCATCCGAAATATCAAATATGTTATTGGAGTGGTTTACTGATCGTCGAGATCAACTAAGATTTACCCTTAGCTAGAGTGTTGGGTGAAATGTCTAAATTACAATTAATGCTGCTGTCACTGAAACGGAAACTGTTGTTTTTTTTTTTTTAGCTTGATATGTCATGGTTTTCACTTGTTTTTAATTTATTTTATTTATTTTGGTAACTACTCATGGCAGTTATTTCTTCATATTTTTCATGTATTTCCTACTAAGATTATAGATAAAATAATAAAAATGTTCTAACACTCAATAATTCAAGATTTTAGTGGTGCTATTTCAATGGCCTTATTGACATTGTCAGCCACTTACTGTTTCTTTTTTTTTTAATAAAATATAATATTATTCATACTACCTCTATTAAATATTAGTTGCAACTTTGGAGTATTACTTGTGAGATATAAAATGTTCTAAAGTTGTAACTAATATATAACAGATGTAGTACAATATTATTCATATAATACTACGGAGTAGATAATTATATTACCATTAGTTTATTCATATGTTTCTGTTACATTTCTCTTGGGAAAGAGGAGCTGTTTTAAGCTGCAACCAACAAGCAACATTTTTATATATTCACCACTAATCCAAATGTACGTACTGTTTTTTTGTTCATCTTCGAGAAGGTCGATAGATCCGAAGCTTTAATTTTTTAACATAATTCTTCTACTCGAAATCTCGTGTTTAAACTATACATGTCGGCAATTAATAAGCGGGAACTCCGGCTAAGGGTAGAACTTACCAAAGACCTAAGATCGAATCCTGTCTATATATCCAGTTGGCGCATTGCTGTAATAAACGGAGCAAAAACGCATGAGTGCTACGGAACAAGAGGTGTGTCACCCAGACACCAACATTTATAAAAATCCAAACAGCAATCCAACAACTTGAAAAAAGATTCACTTTTCTTTCATACATAAATTCCCAGCAACAAAAACATCTATCTATATCAGTCATAATAATTCTGGCAGCTTTACCTATCTTTGCCGTTGCCATGTTAAATTCGACAATTTATGTTTCACATATTTCAAATAATAGATAGTTCAATTCTATTTTTGTTTTTTCTCTTTTGTTGCTAATATGGATTTTTATGTTTAAATTTTTAATTTTTTTTGAAATTTTTTGGCTATTTCACAAATTTCAATTAAAGCTGCATATTGCATGTTATTGAACAAGTGGTCCTGACAATTGTTGTCATGTTTTTTGCTTAAGACTTTGGAAGGGTCATTTATTAAAGGATGGTCCTTTTTTGTGCAATTTTTTCCCAGTCCAAGGTATACAAATGAGGCTAATTCTCAGTGAGTTATTTATGTTATTAATAGTGTCATGACCTTCTACCTAAATCAAACTAAAACGATGTACGACTAGCAAAAAGAAAATTATAAATTCCGTCATCCCATCTTTGAACGAGCTTAGCTTCTAAACAACTACTCCCTCCGTTTTTGTTTATAAGCTAGAGTTGGAAAATTCCACTATTCATAGGTTATCATTGACTTAATTTTTTTTTACCAATATATAACATATAAATATAATCATATAATATGTTGTTGGATTTGTCATAATGTCTACTTCTATAAATTATTTTTTTCATAATTTTTATTAACCTCTAATTAAAGATATTAATGGTCAAAGTTGTGTCTCGCCAAATGTGCAAATCCAACTCTACCTAAAAAAAAAAGTGAGTAACAAGGTTGGATATACGCAACCTTCTTACGAGTATAAGTTAGCTAATCGTGATACCTAAATCAAATGAACTAAACCGTCCGTTATTTGATCTATTATATGGGGCTTAAGTCTTACTTCATTTGCACTTTCGCAGTAGTTTTTAACAAGGATCATTGCAGTTCATTCAAGAGTGCAAACTAATTAATTAGTGGACAAAAATGTAGCTATAGTAAAATCTAATGAAAACGGAATGAAGTTCACATGACATGGTATATCTTATCTACTAGCAAGCTACTAATAAGCTAAAAATCTAATTGAATGTTTGGCCATTAAATAGATCACATGTAACTTATATAATCTCTAGTAGTACTTTAATTTCATGACGTTTTCTCTGTGACTTCTATTAGCAATTATTGTACTCAAAACATTGTAAACCATTTCAATGTGTTTCAATTTGTGGTTTATGTTCTTCGTTTGACTTTTGAGGGTTGACACACAATACACATATCTCATTATCTTCGCAAGTGTATCACGGACATTTTTAGTTAATCTATGGTCGATGTAGGCTATAGCCATATAACTGATATAAGGGTATATTTCGAATGGCCTAAATAAATACTTCATACAATGATGATTTTGAGATAAACCTCGCAAATGGATAAGAGTAGATCCTTGAGAGGTTACTATCAAAGAATGAAAGAACCATTTTTCCGTACATCTTGGATGATTTTTAACTTAAGTAGCTAGTTAGTTCGAATTGTCCAGATTTCATGGTTTTTGCATATATATGAATTATATGATTATGTTTTACTACGTATTATGTTTTATGTGTAAATTGTACCTTTACATGAATTATTGGCCTCTCAGAAATTTAGATAGCAAAGATAGGGGGTATTCTTGATAGTTAAGGCATCTATTTCATTCTCATATGCTAAATTTAGACTATTGTCCTTTTCATTTTTAATTAACATGGATCTATCTAAAAGATGAAAGGCTAAAAAAGTTTTGTAACACAATTTTGAAAGTACTACTTTGTCACTTGCCAACATTTGCATAATTGTAAGTGTAATTGTGTAAATGTGTTATGCATTATATATATATCGTACATCTCAGTACAAGTACTAAAATTATTAATTAAGCAAATAGGATTTGGATATTGATGAAAGGTATAATTAAAATATTGTTAGTACCACCAATTCGTAGGTTATCAAAAGAAGAATAGTAATTGGTTGGGTTAGGCAATGCTTAATGTCTCCAACGAACAACCACCTTATATTGTAAGAACATGTTAAAGCTTTGATTCTTCCAAATCATTAAAGCTTGCTAACCATAAACAGTGTTATTGTAATTGCTGGATTTGGAGTAATTCTACTAGTAATACTCCTCCATCCCTTATTAATTTAACCACTTCACTTTTTAAGATTGAACTTCATGAAAATTAATAATGCAAATTTAAAGTGGTAATCAACACACAATACAAAGCTATCAATAAGCACGTACATACTCCATATATTACATAGTATCGGTTAAAGTGGTGTACATGAACAGTGTAAAAGTCAAAATTAAACACTTATATAACAGAGGGTATACCTCTTTTTTTTTTTTTTTTTTTTTTGGTCTCAAACCTCTATCAATCAAACACCTCATATATCCATACTATGAGTAACAAACTAGCTTGGGTTTATGTAAAATTTTTTATATACACCCGGATGTAAGATAACACCCAAGATTATTCTTCAAATGAGCAATAATTATCATTTAATCATCAAAGTGAGCAAAAAATGTTCTTATGTGCACCGTGTACCCAGATGTGTATAACAAATTTTGGGATTTGTGTAGTTGGAAGACATCGTTGTCCTCTGGGCACCCAAGCCAGCTCCCAAACACAGTACAATTGGCCTGGTTATCATACTCCGTATGATCAAATTAAATCAAGTTATAGGACATTCAACATGTTCAACCAATCACCCTGGCCTTTTCTCAACCCATACTTGTTAAGACAATTCTGCTGCGTGCTTACGTTGTATTCACAGCGAAGCAATTGTCTTTTAGTGTTAATCACTTCACATTTTGGACAATGCACCTAGCGTTGAGCTAAATGCAACTTATAATTTTAGTAATGATAGTGTATATGTCCCATTATTTGGTTTTGGTTTTTTTTTTTTACTTCTTCCCTTTCTTTTTGTTTTTCTTACTTCGTATTTGAAATACTCCGAGATTCTACAGACCAGTACTAAATACGGAGTATAAAATAAATACAATACTCTACTGATATATAAAATATATTGTACAAGAAAAAAAAAAT